ACCTACCTACCTACCTACCTGGCTATACTTGACCTGCCTACCATACCACTAAGGTGCATACATACATGTTAATGTACTATCGTACTTTTGTATCCACCTTCGACTTGTTTTTGCCTACGTACAATAACTACCCCACGTACCAGTGCCGTGCCTGCCGACGTACTAAAACACTCTTGCGTCCGTCATCGTACGTCCATGCATATGTACTCACGTACTAACGTACGTATATACCTGCATACATATGTATTACCCCTCCTTCGCAAGTTATAACATACGTACATATGCACATGCCCTGTCCCGCGAAAGTTTTCGATCGTCGTAACGCCTTTACATACGAGCGTGCTTGTACATTTACCCCGCCTTCGCCTCCCCTGTGGCGACCCAGGCACCTACGTACATACGTACCAATGTACCTATGTACTAGCGTATAAGAACGAACGGACCTACCTACCGACCTAGCTGCCTACGTACCGACCGACCGACCGACCTACCTACCTCCCTACCTACCTACCTACCTACCTACCTACCCACCTACTTACCTACCTGCCTACGCACCTACCTGCCTACCTACCTACCTACCTACCTACCTACCTACGTACCTACCTACCTACCTACCTACCTACCTCCCTCCCTGCCTACCTACCTACGATCAACCGACCAACCTGCCTTTCCTTCCTTCCTTCCTTCCTTCCTTCCTACCTACCTGCCTGCCTACCTAACTACCTACCTACCTACCTGCCTGCCTGCCTGCCTGCCTACCTACCTACCTACCTACCTACCTACCTACCTACCTACCTACCTACCTACCTACCTACGATCACGACCACGACCACGACCATGACCACGACGACCACTACTCCCCCACTAAAATTCCCACTGCTGCTATTTGTACTGCCACCACAACTACTCCAAGTGCCGCCGATGCTGGGAGCTTTTCGGAGGCTATGGGTTTTGAAGGTTGAGTGGTTTAGACGCCATGTTGTCAGTGTGCGATGCACAAACAGGGACGCGCCCCTGTTGTTCAGCTCATTATGTTTGCAGTTCATCAACATTTGCAATGCAATGTGAAGGTGATACTGTACTGCATGCTTTCACTGCTGGTAGAAGTTGCTGTCTCCGCACACTCTTTATCATACGGTTACCGGCGTGTTCAAAGTTGTGCCAATCCGGCGCTTGTGGAGTTCTACACTTGCAGCCATGTCGCATGAATTGCCATAGCTGATGTCGACATCGTCATCAGTCATAATGTTTGCGTCGCTGTGAGGGTCAATTATAGAAGCTGCTGATTGTCCTAGGAGCCGGGTTCTGTTGTTATCCTCCTCCTCATCCCCTAAAAGCTGAGCCCTGGAGTGTCCGAGTGCGAGAGCCCAAACACCACCTTTTCCTTCGCAAAGGCGGCGAGTCCCTGCTCCTTTCCGTGCTTGTGGGTGGTGAGGCCAGGGAAAGGGCTGAAGTCCTGGGGCCCGGGCCTGGGACGTCTGTGAGGATGATCTTGATGATGTGTCGATGACGGTTTGATGCTCATTACAATCTCCCAGCTCCCAGAGACTTGAAGAGGCTGCGCTCCTCACCGCTGCGGCGGCCGTGGTGGGCTACACTGGCTTTCAGCTGGCCCCTGGGCTCCCCGAGGGAGGATGTTCGAGTTCGGGAATGGGTTTCGGAGCACGCACACTGGCCAGCTGTAATGCAGGACCATGAACCGACTCCCTGCATTTCCGAATTCTACTCCGGCTCTTTACAGTTTTATCATTCTCAGGTCCTTGGCGCGGTCCTTGGTCTCCTCGCAGCGCAGCTCTCCGCAGCCTGGGCGCAGGATTGGATTCCGGCTCAAGTCCCGTCCCTGAGCTGCATTTCGGTGGGAGGAAAGTCTAGGCAGACACCGATCCCGGTCCCATTCATGGCTTTGCCCACGTTCCACGAGATTCTGGTACCTCCTCTTCTTGGCTCTGGGAGTGGCGGCCACCGGCTACGGGGGCAAGCGGGCGAGCGAGGCGACTTTCTGAAATGCAGCTTTGCTTCGAAGTCATCTGATGTGTGAATCGGCATGTCTCCCTGGCTAGTTGTTGGGCTTCGCCGCCGGCGGCCTGCTGGTCTCTAGCAGCCTGGTCTTCTTCCTTGCCGAGATCCTCTCAGATCTCACCTTCCCGCAGCTTGACTCAAAAAGGCTATGGTGCAATTGCAAACGGAGCCCACAAAGAAACCCGAAACCCTACGGCTCAAGCTGCTGCGTTCCAAGCAAAAACAGCCAAATCAGCTTCCTCCCTTCGCACAGTGGTTGATGCCATGAACGTGATCTTTGATCTGGGTGTTCTGGTGCAACTTGGCATGATGTGAAATGAAGCCTCCGCGAGAGTCGACGAGGTGGACGCCGTGGCCGTTCTTCAAGACCCCCGTCAGCTGGCTGGAGCCTGTGGGATTGCAGTCGTCGGAGACTACGCCCTACGCCTACGTCACAGCCCGATCCGATGATGGGATATCGGTGTTGAACATCGCGGACCCCACCAGCCCGACTCTGGCAGGGTCCACCCAGCACCGCACCATCTTGGACTATCCCAGCGGCATTATGATCAGAGGCGACTACGCATTCGTGGCCGGGAACGGATATTTCGTGTCGGTCATTGTCGGTCAACATCGCGGATCCAAGCAACGTCACCATCGCGAGCTCAGTGAATGATAATGAACAGAAGATAAATGGACTTGATCAGATTGTGCTAGATGGGAGATATGCCTATGTTACTTCTGGTTGGGGTAGCAGCCTGGTGGTGTTCGACATCACTGATCCGACCAATCTCACCGTGGCAGCAGCCGTCCAAGACACCACCAACCTGTATCAAGCCAGGGTACTGACATCGTCGAAGACCTTGCCGACGTGGTCAGTTCGAACGCCAACAACGACATGACTGTGTTCAACATCTCCGACCCGAGCAGCCCCAGCCCTGTTGGCCTTTCCGTGCTGCCGGAGAGCGAATGCACCGACCTCATCGAATCGCTGTGGTCGGAAACCACGCCTACGTGACCGCATGCGAACCCCGCGCATTGGTGGTGCTGGACGTCACTGACCTGTCTAATATCACTGTCCACAGCGTTCTCTCGAACTTCACCGAGCTTCACCAACCCATGCACCTCGAGATCATGGGGAACTATGCTTACCTCTCCACGCTACATGCCATTGTGACGGTTGACATCAGCAACCCAAGCAGCCCCGCCATCTTCGGCACTGTCCAACTTAGCGACGATTTGTCAGAGCGAAGTACTTTGACAAGGGCGACAGACATAACCTTGGCGGGCGGGGAACCATGCCTGCGTGGCGTGCAATGCGGGCTTTATGCACCGTGGCATAGCCGGCATCGACATCAGCACCAAGAGCAAACTCAACGAAGCTAGCTTCTTCGGTGAGAACCCCCAGCGTCTTCGAGGATGCCTTCGGTGTGAAAGTCGGTGGTGACTATGCCTTCGTGGTCGGCGACGAAGGATCTCTTACTGTGATCGACGTCAGCAACCCGCGTAATCCAAGCGTCGTAAGCTCCATCGTTGACTTGAAGCTGGACGGTGCCGAGGGGCTTGCCATCGCTGGAGACTACGCCTATGTGGCTGAACCCTAAAGTCCATTTTCCAGCTTGATGCCGAGTTACAGCTTTGCCAAGCTGTCTGCCCGGCAAGGGCCTGCCTAGGGCCTGTGTTTAAGCCTGTGCTTTAAGAGACTACGGTCGCAAGCGGCGAAGCGTCCGCTTGGTGCAAACCTCTGAGCGGATGGGGCAACAAAAGCTGCTGTGCTCGCTGTGGCTTGCGATGCGCGAGCCTCAAGATGCTTGCAGGGTGCGGGGCTTCAGAAAGCTCTTCAGTCTGAAGCACAGCCGAAGGCCCAAAGCTCGTACTTTCCGCTGCTTTAAAAGAGGCGCTCCTGGGCCGACGCAGTGAACGCCTACGTCAACGGCGTGCATCCGAAGGACATTTGAGCTCAGAGCTGGTGCTGTGACTTTGCCAAAGCGGCTCACTTTGACACGTCTCGGGGTCTCTGAATCATCGCGACATGTGACACTGAAGCGCTGAGAAGAGGTGTCACTGTGGCCTGTAGCATGAGCCGGGTCGCAGACTGCTGTATTGACCACTCCAGCACATCAGCTGCAGAGCCGCCACAGCTCCACATTTCCTGAGATTTGAAGCTGCACTTGTCGGCGATTCCAGCAGTGTCTAGTAGACCTGGGTCGACAGAGATGTGGAGAGACAACCCGAAAGCCTTGAAAGGATCTCGGGGCCTTACCCCTCTTTGTCCGGCTGGTCGGCTTCGCGGCCTGGGTGGCCTTCGTCGCTTTGGGCCCGAGCCTCTCAGTGACGCTCAAGAGCATGGTCCTGAAGGCCGCAGCACTTTACGACTGTGAGGGTTTGCCAAGAAAGTCGACGTCCCTGCTTCTTCAGCGCCGAGGGTTTTCCACAAAACATTGCATGTATATCGAGCGGTGCACGTGTCTATCTTCTAGCCAGGGGTGCATGGAGGAAGCGATGTATTGTGTAGAGGTCGCTGTGTGCGTTGGCCGTGCTGGTCGTCGTTGTTCGCAGCTCCAGTTTGAGCGAATGATCGTCGTAGAGCTTGATGTTAGTCACTCGTGTCAGCCGAGCGGCACATCCTTTTCATCTTAATCGTGACTGTTTGGGGGATGGGGCACATCGGCATGGCTACATGGTTCTTTTTGCTTCGGTGCAGGCTCTCATCATGTTCACACTGTTTCTGCACGTTCTGCATTGTATTGTTCCGTGCTGTGCTCCCTACTGTTTCTATTCCTCGTATTCGGTTTCGAGCCCTGGTCTGGTCACAGGAGGACTCCGAAGGCCTGAGGAAGCCGCTACTTGGCAATGCCGACACCGACGCCTGAGAGGGGCCTTCGATTTTCGTCCGCGAATCCGGGAATCCAAAAAGTTTGACGGAAGCCAGAGGGTGTCTGTTGAGGAGCGGTGCTTGTGGAGCACACCCAGAGGCTGACAATTGAAAACATGCTATACGGTCCAATCACGGAGCCTGGTGAGACAGCCGCTTCCCCCCCATGGCTTTCGCGAGGCCCGCCCGCAGGTGCAGTAGGCTACTGTAACAACTCCTGGCTGTATGTACCGCTACTGCAAATTGCTGGCGCTGACCTCGCCTCCCCCCTTGGTGTGCCAAGCCCCGCTGCTCACTGGTGGGAGCCTGCTCGACAAACGTCCAGCCCGGTTGCGCCCCATGTGTACTCACGGAAGCGGTCAGGCGCGCCCCGGCAGCATCCGCGGTCAGCAGCCAAGGTCAGGCGCGGAACTTTCGCGAGCCCGCGAGACGTTGACCGCGGCGCTAGCCCCCGACGGACCCGGCGCGGTGTCCGGCGCAGCTGCTGCGCGCGGCAGCCCCCGACGTCCTTGAGTTCAGGCCCGCCGGGGAAGTCGTTCTGTCGACATACCAGGTTGGGGAGGCGTTGTGCACCTCCCCGCAAATCGCGCTGGATGCCATCGTTCTTTCGTGGCTTACCGCCCTTCGTAAACCTACCGGAGGGGTCCGGGCATCGCCACAGGGGAAGTGTTCAGGCGCCTCGTTTTCCGAGCGCTCGCACGCACATTCAGTGGCGCGCTCGCTGCCGCCACTCGACCGTTTCAGTTCGCGATGCAGACTCGAGCCGGCACTGACAGCTTGGCAGCGATGCCGCGAGCAGCTGTTGTTCTGGACCCACGGGCCACACTCGTCTCTTTGGATGGACGACGCGTCTATAACACCATCAGCCCTGCGACGATACTCGCCACAAGCTCCGCGACACCATCCCATCGTTCGTATCCTTGAATTTCCCGAGCCACGTACGCGCGCACCTCCACGTACTTGTGGTGGGACGACGCGGGACGTCTGCACGAGACTGCGCAAAGTGAGGGCGTCGAGCAGAGCGAGGAACACGCAGCATCGCTGATGTGTGTCGTCACCGGCAAGGTCGAGCGAGGCGCCGGGGTCGATGCCTACAGGGACCACCACCTCGCCTGCCCCGGCGCAGGCCTGCTGCCCCGGCACGGGTTCGTCGTTGAAAGGGCTCACGAGGCTGTTGGCCCGGAGGGTCAGGTCGTGTCGCAGCTCCATGTGGCTTGCTCGCACTAGGTCGCCGCGCGCAAAAGCAAATTCGCACGCTACTTGCAGTAGGTTTAAGAGTTTAAGTCGTCCCTGCCGGGGCGAAGTCGTCCCAACCCCATGTGCCGCAGGGTTTGGGCTAGGTTTCAATACCTCCATCATATGTTGTCTCCCATCCAGTCTGTAGTGATCCAGTGCTGTGCGCGGTCTTTCCTTGAGCTTGGATATGTTGTGATGCCACTTGTGTCTCGAGTTGGTGGAGCGTCTACAAGGGGAATGGCTGGTTTTGATGTGCTGTTTGCTGCGACGCCGCTGATGTGGTGTCTTATTGCAAAATCGAGCGTCTACATGGGAACTGGCTTGTTTTGATTTGCTGCCGCTGATGTGTTTCTTGAGCGGGTGCTTGCGAAATCGAGCATCTACATCGGGAATGGCTGGTTTTGATTTGTTGTTTGGTGCGACGCAATTGATGCGGTGTCTTAAGCTTGCAGAATCGAGCGTCTACATGGGAACTGGCTTATTTTGACTTGCTGCCGCTGATGTGTTGCTTGAGCGGGTGCTTGCGAAATCGAACGTCTACATCGGGAATGGCTGGCTTTGATTTGCTGCTTGCTGCGATGTGTTTCTTGCCTACGTGCTTGCGAAGTCGAGCGTCTACATGGGGAATGGCTGGTATTGATGTGTTGTGTTGCCATTGATGTGTGTCTCGGGCGGGTGCTTGTGGAATCGGGTGTCTACATGGCGAGTGGCGGGGTTGAGGTACTGTGATGTTACGGGTAATCACTTATGTGACTTCTGTGTGTGTGTGTGTGCGCCTCGAACGGTTGCTTGTGTAATGGGATATCTATTTGGATGTTGCGATGTGGTGCAAGCCCAACAACCGAACAGAAATCCAAATGCCATATTCGCGAAGTGCGCAATCCCCAAAGAGCATGGGACACACGGAGTCGTTTTCGAGCTGCGGCGCTGGTCCTGTTGTTCAGAAACTCTGCTATCCGAAACAGTCTCGGTCACCCTGTTTGGCTGGAGCCGCACAGACGTGCGCACACATTCACACTTTGTGCCGAAAAGGAGCTCTTGAAACTTCAGCGTCCGCGACCATGCTGACAATTGAACCGGAGCGACTTGGAGGGTACGATCAGCATCCGCACGGGGGTTTTAGCATCTAGTCATGTGTATTCTTGCACCAGTGGGGCTTCTCAACCCACCGCGTGCAATCCACCGTGCGCAGGGCACGCGCCATTTTGAAAAAATGCGTGTGCCCTTGCTTTCGCTTGCGCCCGTCCGAGGATGAAGACAACGGTCCTGTAAGGACATGGGGGATAAAGAACACGCATTCAAGCAGATTCGTTGACGAAATCTACTTGCGGCCACATACATCCAACACTGCGTGTCGGGAAACTATAACTTGCAGAAAGCTCGCAGCTTATCATCCCATCGGGTCAGTGGGCGTCCTTGTCGGCGCTTGGGTGCGAAAGAAAAGTTGTCATGCCAGTTCGACTCGGGATTCCATGTGACCACATGTGGTCTGCGCAACTCGGACGGCGAATGAATGCGGACACCTGGCGTCGTCCATGTTTCGATGGGATTCGATGGGGTGCTAATGTAAAGCCTTGGCCACACGGCTCTTCATGCGACTCATGGTGTCGTGCCAGCTCTCGTCTTAAATTCGGATCCGCCCAACCATTGACCGCAGCATCCGCCTTTGTATGGAATCGAGTTTGGATAGTTGCACGCCGGTTAAGGCCAATGTGTGCAAGCCGAACAATATGGTCGGCGTTACGACGGCGTCGAAAAACTTCATGCGAAGTTTGATGGA